GCATCACCCTCTCCTCTCCTAAAAGCAGCTACTTCTCTGCTGGACACATGCTGCTGGTTAAGGAGCTGGTCAGTTTCAGCCTTCAAGCTCACAAGAATCCAACTCATTTTCATATACCTAGCAAATTAGACTTAACCCTTAACTACATAAAAAATTAATGTTTGCTTTCCTCTCATTCAAAACAATTCACTACAGGTAACATAACCAGCACCATATGGGTTTAGTGGGTGAACAGGGGACCATGCAAGTAGGCCACAGGCAAGTGAAGATGTTGCATTTCTTTTAGTTTGTTCTGCTTGTTCAACAGGCGTTTGATTGTTCATACTCTCTCCATTACTTGCAGATGTTGCTGAATGTACTTGAGCATTGTTGTTTCTGGTCAAACAATCTCAACTCTGCTCTGCTGTATGTGTGTCTGTGAGCGCCCCTCCCTTGAGAGCCTGCAGTTGGCTTTACTTTTGTCACTGTCAACTTAACATATCTCCAAACTACTGACATTTCTTCACTGCTGCCAAACTACCTGCTCGATCTATGTGACATTAACAAAGTTACTGTAAAGTAGTCTGCTTGTATTGGATAACCTGAGTATGAGTAGTAGACTGTAGTATCAAATCCGATACTACCTTTTATGCATCCCTACTGAAAAATTATGTTTAGTGGTTAGAAAGTAAATTTCGGTTTTCCCGTTTAGGGGTCGCCACAGTGAATCGTCACACTGACGACTCGCATGTTGACATTTGGCACATGTTTTATGCCGGATGCCCTTCCTGACGCAACCCTGATTCGAACCCGGGCCGCAGCGGCGAGAGCGCTACGCCTTAACCACTAGCCTGCCAGGAACGGTTTAGTGGTTAAGTGTTGGAAATGGCTAAGTCAAGACTAGGAGATGGGTAAAATGTCTTTAAAAGAAAAAAGTGCACAAAAAGGTTATTTTCAGCTAAAAGTTAACACAGATCATAGCTGCTCTATGAGCTGCCTGAATCATGACAGACCCATATCCTGTGATGTTAAAGTAGGGACTGCCGTGACTCAGGACAGTTCATAGACTCTGGCTAGCTTGTAGTGAATTAGGAGCTCCCATGTATGGGAGGGATAGACTCAAAAAGACTCACTAATCTGACCTCTTGATTTGTGTTTGTTAAAGAGATATCAGCTCTGGCTAGGAGTTGTGAGGCGAGTGAAATCAGTAGAAGAATAGTTTGTGGCTTCTATTTCTTGAGTCTGTCCCTGCAGGGGCGCTAACTCTAGCTAGCAGCTGTCTACAGGTATCAGGCTAATGTCTTGTCATTATAAAAAGTGCAGATAAATTAGTGAGCAGACTTTTGAGTTTCTGCTCTCTGCTCAAAGTGATAAAGTAGATGACTGTACCTAGTTGAAGTATATGCTACTGATGGTTCATGCCACACTGTACTGTATAGTTTTGTTGTTGTTTTTTTTGTTAGAGTTACTGAATAAAAATATTTCAGATACAGCATTCCTCATTTCACTGCCAGAAAAATGACAACTCCATAGTGGAAAAGGGCAGAAAATTACTATTCCTACTGTTAATGTCTATTATTCATGATATTAACCCAAAGCAGTGGTCAGTTCCTTCTGTATATGGTATAGGCCTGGTAGCATTTGATGGCAAATTACTGTACCCAATATGTATTCATGTGTTTTACCAGAACATTTTTAGTCAATATAATAAATAGGTTAGCATTACATACCAGAAACTGCTTTGGTTCAATAGCTCCACCATTCTCATCCTTGGCTGGCTTTGCAGTTTCTTTCAACTACATGAAAACATAAAAGAGTAGCAAACAAATCAGATGTGACAGGATAAGACAATCCAAGCAAATTGGTCATTTGTAAAACACTCAATCTGACAGGCTTATATTAGGAAATGCTGTAATAATGGCAATCAGTGTATGTGGAAAAGTACAATTCTATTAAAACTGCTAAATTTTGTGTCTTGTGATTAATAACATACTGGTAAACATACTTACATTAAAACCTAAAACAGTATTGTATGTGCCATTTCTCTGCCACTGACTTTCCAATCCTACCCCAAAATGCACCTCTACTTTCCTATCTTTGAGGTACGCATGTTTTTGTTGCAATCCTATTGTTTTACACCTAGTATTACACTAAAAACCTTTTTGATAGTCTGGTACTTATTGTATTTAAAAATCACTACATCTATATGATTACATACAGTTAAGCATGGTGCTCCAAATGTGGGGCAACATTGCCAATTATTTTTGTTTAAAAAAAAAAAAAAAGATTTACACCTTTACTGCTCTTCACCCGCATGTACGTTAAAATTAACCATTGAGTATATTTCATTTTGTGCTACTTCTTACTTTGACATCACTACATTTTAGTGGCAAATACTGTATTTTTTACTCCACCACATTAATTTTATAACTTTAGGTACTAGTTACTTTTTTAGAACCAGATTAATACAAAAATTATATTTGAATCATAAGACCTTATTGATCTCTGGTGGAAAATTCCCCCTTTACCAGCTGCAGCATTAAATGTAGTGTACACAATAATGCATCAATTATACTTCAATAATATTATATATAAGTGACATTTTGAATGCGGGACTTGTACTTGAGTATATTTACACTGTGGTATTGCTGCTTTTACTTAAAAGGATCCAAGTACCTCTTCCACCACTGATCACAGATTTACTTATGTTTACATTAACACAGTTTTGTTTTCACTAAGAGGAATCACTTGCTCAGGCTTGTAAATGCGCTGTGCGTTGGTGGCTGTAAGCCTATTTGACAGTGTGATGTTGCTCCTATTCATGCATTTAGCAAAATTGTCACCTCCCTTTCTAACTACATTCAAAAACCACAATGCAGAAGTACTGAAAAATCCTCACATTACAATCCGGTCAGATCATCTTCAACAGAAAGAGTACTTAACGTTGCTGTCTGTAATTTAAATAACACAATGACTAATTAACGTTACACTCTCTAACGCTAATTCGTTTATCATGTCAAAGTTAGCTAGGTTAATTGTAACTGTATAAAATCAGTTCACATAGTTTGAAAATAATGTATGGGTAAAAATGCTGAATTAGCTACCTAGCTAGCATTACGCAGTTAAGGTGAAGTCCAAAGTGGTTAGCAAAGTTAAAAGCTAGTGAGGGGACGGTAGCTAGGTTTACTTGCAGTTCAGGCTAACGTCTATTACTTCGGTTAGCTTTGACGGCTAACGTTACCAGATTACTTAGTCATACATTTTAACTCTCGCCGGTTATCTGTGTCATCATTCCTGTGGAAAGCGAGTTGGCACAACGATGAGATATTGCTTTTATCTGTAATTGAAAAGAGAGGAGCACATACCTACACACGGTGAACATGACTGTGTATTCACGGTGTGTATGTTTGCGGGTTTCGCGCGAGCAAACTAGCTAGCAATGAGAGCACCGCACAATGCTCTATCATTGGTATATGGCTAAATTAAAAATGGCGGACTGCTAAGGAGATGATCCGTATTTTACCCTTAAAAGACACTAGTTTTGTGGTCTTGGATCATAGTGACTGGGACTAATCATCAATGGTAGTTCTTAAAGAACCTAAATGTATGCCACCAGCTAGCCAAAACCCACATCAATGCTCTGTGAATGATTTCTGCTTACCTCGAATGCGTGTTACATTTGCTTCTCCATCTTGCACTAGTGACTCGCAGGGTGGTTTAGAACTCGCGAGAATGCCTCCTGCTGCTGCGTTTACCGAGGGCACTCCCTTGTAATTGTAGAAAAACAATGCTATTGCATTTTCGTCTGGAAGACGGCAAACTATTACCTGGCATTTTCTGCCTCAACCATAATTGTTATTGTATGTGTACATGTAAGCACACAGCAGAATCCTCCAAGCTTTATGAAAAATATCTTTTAATTCAGTAAATTAAGTGTATTCAAACTCACTGACAATTAGGAAGTAAACACTGGACAATTTTTATAAATGCATTGAACCCGTTTGAACATGGAAAGTTTTTTAAACTGAGCAATAGACAAGTTTATATGTTAACATAATAGTGCAGAAATTCATTAAAAAAAAAAAAGACAAACTGTAGACAATTTCTTCAAAAGTGTTATAGTACTACTTTTTATCTACCACAAAGCATCAAAGTGCATTTTCACTGGTAGAAAGCATTACATGTAGATGTGTTTAATACAACACATTATTCCCTGTTGTATCTTGATGACTTCCCAATACAGAAATGTACCTAAATCCCACATTAGTCAATGTAACAATCTAGGAGACTGAAGTATTAAAAGAAACAAAACAAAACAGAAAACCACTCACAAATAACACTTTTGGTGATTTGGTCCTCAAATAAATTCACTGAAAAATGAAATTTTGCACAAGGTATATTTTATCTTTTCCGGGTCGTATTTAAACACATCATGTTTAAAACACACAGTACACATCAACACAAGAGTGAACATCAACAATAATTCATATAAAACTAAATGGATGAAACTGAACAAGGGCATTTTTCCAGCACACTTCTGATATTATACTAACAAGACAACATGATAAACTAAGCATAACAATGTGTACAAATATTAAAAAAAGAGCATTCGAGATATTTTCCAAATACAGCAATGTATCATGTACAAGTTATGTTAAGAAAGATTTCAAAGTTTTTGAACTATAAAAGAACTTAAATTACAACATATATTTACATATCAATTAATATCCTGCACCTTCACAATGTTTTCATACAGTTAAAGCTACATTTCTGCCAACATTCTGCCACTAGTACATTCTACACAGATCTAGAATCTGGTCCAAGAATGCAACCTGCAGGAAACTAGTCTTTTCAACACCTATTTTTCTGCTCTTCCAATGCAGCTATATAAATTACAAATATTTACAGTGGTAACTTAAGTTGTAAAAACTCTAACATGCCATGGCTACAATTATTGTACAGACATTGAGTGGTTGAAAATAATTAAAGTAGGGACCAAGGTGGTAAAAACATACATGAAAATGTGTGTATGATGTTACTTTCAGAATCAGTTTAGCTCTTTCTACATCGTTTGTAGAGCGACAATATATGGAGAAAAATAAACTTACAAATTCCTAAAAAAAAAAGTATTTTTAACAGTGATGCTGATCATGTGGATGCACTGGATTTTTGCTAAACTCTTTGTACACAGATTGGTGCCCTATAATCATCTTAGCTCAGAATGTTCTGAGGTAAAACGACAATTAAATGCAACACTACGAATGCATGATTGTTTCCACATGTCTGTGTGGGAGTTGGAGCAATATGGACATGACAATTTATGGTAATTTGTTGTTTATTCGCCTTTAAATGTTTTTTGTGTAGACACAGATGCTAAAATAGAGCTTAAAAGAAACAGACTATCAACTTATTACAGTAGTTTATCTAGCCTGTTAAATCAATGTCCACTTTTCATCTTGAAATGCTTTCTACAATTTCCTTGTATACCAATGTCAATTATGTGATCATTTAGAATTATTCCCCACATCAAGTGCTTATCTAAAACATTAAAGTGATTTGTTTAAAGTTGCAGATGTGCCCTTATAAATACCTTTATACAGACATGGATAAGTAGAATGCCAAAACAGGCTGCTAATTAGCAGGGAGGAGTAACTGGTGTAGGACAACATATAGTGATGGTCAATAACATGAAAATGGTCAACTAATTTATCTAGAGAGCAAAATATAAATTACTCCCTCCGTTTCCTTCAGACCTACTTTCACAAAAGCCCTTTTCTCCTTTCTCATGTGAGTCTTCAGCCACATTTCCAACATCGTTCACAAGAGAAGTTTTCCATTGCGGTGAATTTTCAGAATCTTTCCAAGTCTCTGTTTTGCAGTTGCTAGTCCTTTCTTTGGACGTTTCCCTAAATTAAAGTGAAATGAAAAAATACATGAGAAAATGCTGTCACAGAGACAGCAAATTATGCTGTTTGTGTTTTAAGTGTATACTTACCTTGACCAGCTCCTGTTGTGCCTTGGTTAGCTAAACCTGCAGAAGATGCAACAGAGTGAGAGCTACTGTTCTGGGGAGACAGGGAAGGTCGGCGTGAAGTGAGAAATACACCGGGGGCCATGGCACCGCTGCCTCTAGGGCCTCCAGTTCCAAAAGGTCCTGGTCCTGCTGTGTATTCATGGTCCAACAGACTAGCTGAGTAGTAATCAGCCCTCCTCTCTAGGCTAAAGTCTGCTGCAGACTCTGGAACAGGTGGTGGGGAGGGTGGGACTGGCTCAGTCTGAACAGCGGGGGTCGTGTCTACAGGCGCAGGAAGACACTGTTTTTTGGTGTACTTCCTTTTAGCAGGTTTTTGCTGCTCCTGAATTATGATTAAAAAAAAAAGGAAAAGTCGTTATGTTTTAACAAAGGATGATTCTACTTCACGTTATTCACTGGGCACTTCCTTCCATGACTAATACACTTTGTTTCCCAACTCACTTGTTGTGCCAGCTTGGCAGCAGCTGCTGCAAGGCCAGTTTCTACAGACGCGACTCTAGCCCCTTCCCTGGCTGGTCGATCTTGTTTGGGAAGGGTGGGCATCACCCTGGCTTTAAATGAAATTATCAAGAGATTAACCATCTAAAAGCCAAAAAGCAAATCTTATCTGTTTCGCTGGTAAGTTAAGTTCAGGTACCTTTTGGGCTCCAAGGTGTGTCGTCCCAGTTTTTCTTCCGCTTTGTCTTAGCCTTGCTGGCATGGTCCTCCTCATCAGACTCCAAGGATGGGTAAACTTAAACAAAAATGTTAATTACCATAATTAAACATTGGCCTGATCAATAAAAGCCTTTGGTGGTTTGACTAGAATTGATTTGTACAAGAGGAGGCATAAGTAACTAAGTATACTGCTCACCATAGTCTGAATCTTTAAAACAGGTTCCCAGAGTCTCCTGCTCATCTGGACTCTCCTCTTCACTAAGGTGACGAGCTGGCCGCTTAATTGGCCGTTTTCCTGGCCGCTGAATGACAGGTTTCTTCTCATGACTCCCTGTCTTTTTGACCCCTCCAGTAACCCACACAGCCCTGCCGCCCTTTTCCTTGACCACTCCTAATCCCTCTGTCAAGCCCCCAGAGACAGATAATGGAGATGAAGAGGAGGAAGACGAAGATGAGGAAGGGGGGTTGGCCATGGAGAGCATACCTTGAATGGCATCACGAGTGCTGGGGGAGGCTGGGGCTTCCTCACTAAAAAAGAACACAGCTAGGCAATCAATCCTTATCTGCCAATATGTGAACTACACAAGTTTCAAATGTTTCTGGATGCTTGGATGAACAGTGAAACATTTATCCATATTTGTGCTCTAAACTATCGCTCTAGTCAGTTATCCAAAGATTATGACACCAATCATAGAACTATTAAATCCTATAACTATTATATTTAGAAATCCTCTTCAATAATGACACTTAAAGAGTCGAATAATAAAGGAGTCACTGGTGATCAAGGAAATCTAACCTGAGTGCAACAGAGTCCAAGCCTGCCACTTGCTTGCTAGCCTTCAATAAATCCAGAATGCCCCCCGCACCACCCTTCACTCCATGGGCAGCTAGTGCCTCTTCATCTGTGGTGTAATCCTCCTGAAGTCACACGTACATGCTATTGTTACTATCGAACCAGTGCTGTAATAATTAAATTCTGCTGGATAATACAAGACACACACACACACACACACACACACACACACACCATAGTAAACAAACTGATGGGAGAGATGTGTATACATCACGTTTCCTGTTATGTGTCTACTGTCAAAGATGTAGTAAATTAGGCAGTCTTTGATTACAAATCACAAGGGATTTGTTCCACTGGACAGAAGGCACCAGCGGCAATTATCATTATTATGTTTAGTTTGGAAAGCATAACAAAGCTAAACCAAAACCAAAAAAATGTAGTCATGATCATAAAATCTGTATAGCTGTGTCCTGCAATAGCCTGTGTGAAATAAACATGTTTTCATCTTTGGGACTGACTTAGTGACTTGCATTATACTGGATACTAGCAGCTTAAAAATGGCAATCAGAAATAGCTCCAGAAAAGCTGAGTGGTGTATCCATAATGATCTCACCTCAATGTCAAAGTCTACTTCTCCTGGTTCCCTGATGCGATTGGGGTCAGAGCAGGGTTTAGCTCTGGGCAGCTTCCTAGGAAGACCTGAAAGGCACATGTTAACACAGTTAGTCTACCGTAGCAAGGTGGGTTCGAAACCATACTACTAAACTATATTAGGTACTACATTTAGTCAACAGTGTTCAAACAGCTATACTAACCTCTCATTGCAGAATAAAGGAATTAAAGTAACATTTGTCCATACGAGGACTACGACATTCATTTAAGCATTACTTGCACTCGTTTAAAATCAAATTCTAACCACTTAGTTTCTTTTTCTTGCTGGGTCCTGCAGGCTTGCGTCGTGGAGGAGGGGTCTCGTCAATCTGCAGCTCATCCTCGGACTCCAAGTCAGACAGACTGGATCCCTCCGTGGCAAGATGTTTGTAAGTTCCAGCATTTCCTGCACCATTACTGCTGCCTTCCTTCTTACTAAAGCCAGAAAAAAGCTAGCATGAACTCCACCCACTGCTAGGACCACGAGATCACAAAAGTAATGGGAACACACCAAAAAGCTGCCAAACATACCCTTGGATTTTTCCATTGGTCAACACAAGTTTCAGTTTGCTTTTATTCAACTTCCCTTCAAACTCTTCTAATGGCAACTCCAACTATAAAAAAAAAAAAAAATTGCAAGCAAATATGAGAATGAAATATTCAGACACCAAAAATGCTGAATAAGCATTTCCACTGTAAACACAAACGCTAATAAACCTACCTTGTTCTTGCTTTTGGACTTGCCAGGTTGAAATTTCTTCAGTGTGTGTTTGGTGTGAATCTCAATAAGGTCAAGTTCTCCTGCTTCTGCCTTAAGTAGCCCTTTCTGACTCTTCTTGGTTCCTGGGAGGCCAAGCCCTCCTATCACCTCTTTGGGCTCAGGGCCTTTCTTTTTTCCAGGGGGGCGGCCTGAACTCTGAGAGGTGGTCAGGGGAGCTTTAGAGAGTGGTGAACCAGGAAACTGAGGTCCAGTGCGACCAATGTTTTGTTGAAAGATGTCCTATCCAAAAGGGAGTGGAATGTTTAGTCTGCACTTTTTGAAATCAAATTTATTGCTTTTAAGACCTTCACAAAGAAAATGTAGTGAACAAAAACACAACCTTTCATTGATTCTCCTATTTACCTCAACCAGACGAATCTCCTTGGCCAGGTCCTTCACTAGTGTCTGAGTATTGATGGTTTCTGGAATCTCCACTTCATGTTCTGCTAAAGCCTGTGTGTGGGGAAATAATTATCAATTGTCATATTGTGCAAAGTTACATCTAATATTATGAACTAATACTAGGAACCTTTCAGAACTTGTCAACCTGCATTTTCTTGTTGATATTAAAAATGTAAAGGAATGGTTCGATATTCTTTTCAAAGAGAGTTACAGTAGGTGACAAGATATCACTCTCATCAGTGCATTAATTATAAAACTACAGCGAGCAACCAGTTAGCTCAGTGACTGGACTGGGAACCAGCTTAACAGCTCTGAAGTTGTAGCAAAATCCAACCAAGCAGCACTTTGAAAGCCCACTTATTAACAAGTTATATACTGCATCTTCAGTAGTAAAGGTAAAGACAAAGTAATCGAATAAGATTTTGCCTACCTCTTTACGGGTCCAGCTGCGGAAGGCATTGTTGAGGGCCTTAGCTCCATGAACCAGATAAGTGGCAGGGTGTCTGCGATTTTCTCTCAAACCTGTGAGACAGAGCATTAATAAAGTCACAATATTACAACAGTAAACACAGGTCACTCAAATTGTTCACATAAAGACAGCATTAATATGAAATTCACTGAAACCCCCTCACCTCTAAAGGTATCAAGAAGGTGCTTTCCAACATACCAGCACACAGTCTCAAAGTTCGGAAATCGAAACAAGTCTGCTGTGCTTAATCTCTTCTCTATTTCATATGCCCTAAAATTGTAACACAGAACAAGAAAAATCACACATTAATAGCTGTTGCCACCATTTTGCAGACAGATCTTCTGTAGCTATTTTGATCAAATAAGTAATTTGGGGATTAAAGGTTTAAATTTCCACCATGTCTGAAGAGTCATGAAGATTAGGTTAATTAAAACAGCCAGTTTAGGAGAAAGGATAATGTCTCCAAAGTAGCATGGACCTGCCAAGTGTTTTCTCTCTTTTTGGTAATTTTCTTCTTTAGTATTAGAACGACACTGTTACAAGAGCTGAGCACTAGGAACTACATCTGAAAAAGTTCACCAATTCTACTGTTACAATACTGCAGTGAAACAATTAGCAAGTAAAATTAAAACTTAAGTCACATTAAACAAACATTTCAATCAGAAAGAGCTACAGTAAGACTGCAGTAACACTCCAGAGGATACTAACCGCAGCTGCATGTCAATGTTGAGACTATGCAAGAAGTTTCCTCCAAAGGCCAGGCAGTCCACTGGAGTCAGCACAGCATGAATCCACCCTGAAAAACAAGTGTAAACATTATTCAAGACTACTTTGACTATCACAACTCTGCTAAAACCACTTTTCATGTAATGAAAAAATATATACAGAAACTTGCCTGTTGGTATGAACAAGGTATTTCCTTGTTTGACAGAGCACTTGTAACACATATCAACCTGGTCTCCAAAAAACATCTCATTCTGGTTAGATGAGGAACTCCACCGCTCAAAAAGTGCCAGATTGGCTGGGGTGGGGGAAATTAGGTAGAAGATTTTCTCACCCTGAAGAGATACAGGGAGACAAGCTCTTAAATCAATACCAATTTATTTTTTAAAAAAAGGAGAGAAATGTTTTATGGACAGTGGAACTATAACTTCCCAAACACAGCTGATATTATTTTTCTTCTCACCCTCAGGACATGGTACCATACTGAGGTCCCTCCAAAGTCGATGTGAAAGTCTGTGTAGCTATCCTTCACTCCCATAAGGCAGTACTTCTGCACATTGGGGCGTTCAAAAACAGACTCTTCAGGCCAGAGATTTTCCACCCATGACAGCTTCCTCACAATCTTTGGAGTCTCCACTAAGTTTGAGAGCCTAAAACAAGTTCAGCACTTGTTTAGTCTACAAAAGCATCACATCATAGCAACACAACTTCACTTCAATGACGAAGTTCCCATTAATTTTACTATGTAGATCATCCAAATGTAATGACAAACTGAACCATTGGTGAAGTGACTCTCTTTGTGTACCTGGTCTCAGAGAACTCCAGGCTGATAACGTTGAGCACTCTGTCTCTGTTGGGGCTGTTGTAGTATTCTACAAAGTCTCCCAACCGCATCTTCAGATCACACTGGCGGGAGACATCAATCACATCAATCTCTTTGTCTGCACCTGCAATTACAACAAAATGGGTTTAGTGTATATGACTTATTTACTATGTACAACACAAAAAAAAGAATACAAATGTTATTATTCCTTATACACAGCAGCCTATTATTAAAAGAATAATGGAAATCCGAATTTAGCACTGTGTCAAAACTTTACCAATGTAGTGCTCAACATCGCTGACGCTGAATGATGACGGAGGAAGGGTCATGCCTAGGCCATCTCGCCTTAGCACCATGACAGGAACACTGAATGAATGCTCTTCAAGAAACTCCACTGTCAACTGGGTACCAGACGGCTTTAGCAAGACTTCATCCGCACTGTCACAGAACAACATAGAATGCTTTACAATTATTACATTATAACATTCAGAATATATACATCAAGGCCTTTGCTCTCCAAACTAAACAAAGAGCAGAGACTGTCAGATGATGATGCAGTCACATTACAGCCTCTGGACAGCAGAGGTCACCTATTTGTGGTATTAAACTTAACAATATGAAAAAAGTAAAAGAAAAAAAAAATGGTGTGTGCAACCACTTCACGAGAATAAGATAAAGAATGGGAATTAAAACATATGATGCAGCAAAACAAGCAACCAATTTAGTTTTCTGGCACATGTGGAGTGAGTACACTCACAATACACAGACTCAACTTTTGCAATGCACACAGATGCCTGCACAAAAGGCCCTCATAGACCTGGGTGGATGAAATTCACATCAGTTGTAACCCTGCGGGCATGCACATACAGAAAGCATGAACTGATATTTACCTTGGGAAGGTGCGGCTCCGTAGCTCCCTAACAAACTGCGAGCTCCCCGTTTTAACAGGCCGACTTGGATCTCTTCCTAATGCAGCACCACCACCATCTGTCTGCTTATTGCCTCCACGTCGTTTGCGCACTGAGAAGAAAGAAAAAATCAACAAGGGCATTATTATTTAAAAGTGAATCAATAAGATGGTCTACAGAAGGAAAGGTAACTTACTGACAGATGGCCCGTGTGTGACCTGACAGTTGGGGCAGTGATACAGGTCAATCTCAGCTGCTTTGTCCTCCTCTACTCCAACACAGCTACACAAAAAAACCCATTATTTTCACATAAAGATTATGCAGAATGAATAGCAAAAAGAGCCACAATAGGTCCAGTACGGTGTACATGCACAGGAATCATGAAAACAAGCCCACCAAAAATTACATCATAAATCACCAAACATAATCAACGCAGTGTTAAATCTGAAAATGACCTACCTTCCATGGAACCAGTCTTGACAAATGTCACACTCGATCATGAAGCGTGTCACATCATATGGCAGGCGACACAAGCAGTAGACTGGCACTGATGCCATAATGAGTGAGTGTGAGTGAACCAACTATCAAATTATTAATGGGAAGATGTCAAAATCGAATTTTGATATAAATACTTGGTTAATACAAACTAAAAGCTTAATCAATTATTTAGTAATGTTACTACTAAACTGAAGCTCTGCCACCTCACGTCACTTCATGTCCACCGGCATACAAAAGGAAACCTGTTGTGATATAGAAAAGAAAAAAAAGAAAGAAAACAACTTGTTAATTGACTGCCAAAAAAAGAAAACAACTTGTTAATTGACTGCCACAAGACACGATAATAACGTAACAATAGCTGCATACTCGCTGGAATGTAAACTGAACAGTGAGAAACATTAAAACCTGTTTCCGTCATATCATACAATAATTAACGTTACTCCCCTAGTCTGAGATACAAAACCAGTCAACTACGTGGGTAACGAAAGTAGCTGCCGTTTAGCACAGGTACCACAACTTTTTTGTTTAAGTATCAAACTGCTACATATTCTTCAAATGCAAAACTGAAGACGTAACAACTATCATATATCCACAAATTAGACCGATTTTGTTTCTCCTAAGCCCTTAGCCAACTGATAGGCTGTAGCTAACGTTAGCTCGATGTATGTAAACACGCAAAGCCCTGTGAATGTTGTCGCTAGCGAAGCACTAACGTACTTAGCAAGTAAGCAAACGTTAGCCATGTAGCTCACATAAGCATTTACGAAGATAACTTAACTTAAACAAATAAGACAACAACCAGTGCAATTAATTTTGCGTGTTAACTTGAAAGAAACACTACATGCACCTGACACAGTTGGTAAATCCCAGCGAATCAGAGAAGCGTCGTTTTCCAACAACTCACCGAAATCTAGCTGCGGCAGGGCCAAGCATTCAGAAGCCGTTGTAATCCCCACGCAAGCTCGGGGCTACCTGCGGCCTTATTATGCAACGTAAATTATTAACAATTTGCTTTACCACATTTTTACTTATCAGTTCTGCAACGGTTAAATATAAAGGCCAGGTCCGAAATTTCCCACTGGACCAAAATCTAAAATCTGGAGCGACCTAAACGAGCTCAATGACTACAAATAACGGCGCATTTATCCGCACCAACGCCATTTCCAAAGCAGTAGCGTCAGACCGTTGTTCGTCGCTGTCCGCCGTTGACAAAACAATAAAGTTGCAGAAGGTCAAATATGGAGTTGTATTCAGGACACAACATTGCGGAATGTTCATGCAGTAACAAAGTTTCAGAGGCTAAGTTCCATAGTAGCTTGCAAACATGATTTAATTGCAAATATATAGATAAATGAAGAAAAGTAAATGCTTTTAAAATGTATAAAATAAAAAAAGATGTGTAAATACATTAATTGCACCTAACTAGGATTTATTTTACGCCATTATGCACAACTTTGGAGGCACCTTTATCAATATCTGTATATATGAAACGTAGTCTAATTATGTAAACACCCAACAAGCACGCACCTTTTTGTGCTAGTTATTTGACAACATGATACTAATATTTATTATTATGTAGTGATTGGTAACGTTTTCTCAAAACAAATATAACAGCAACTAAATCATAATGACGACGAAAAGAATATGGCAGTCTTCAATGTAATCTCAGACTGAACATTTTATTACTTTAAATTTACTTGTACATTAATTATTTTAAAATTCTATTATTTCTAAATGTTTCTGCTTATATTAGTTTACTATAAATCATGTGTGTCTTGAATACACATTAATGTTTTAGTTTGAAAATAATGTTTTTAATTTATTTCAACCTGATAATCAGCTTGCAGAGACCTTGTTTGATATTTTTAATGGACCAAATTGAAAATGTTATCGGCTTATTTGAATGATTACATATATTTAATTGCATATAATTCTGTGCTAATGCAGTGCAGATTTTGACAACCAATCCCTTTTACTACTTTTTTACTTAATTTGAGATATTTTGTATAATTTGCAATGCGGAACAATACTACTTGCTTACCTTTAACAAGAGCAACGCCAGAGATGATGTTAATTGTAAAATGTGCATGATTTATAGTCCTCATAAATGTTATATACAGTAAATGTAACAACCAATTGGCTCTGTTTGACATTTACACTAGTCTGATGATTCAATGTTTAACATAATTTATTTCGATTAGTTACAAAACATAAATAAAATCAACAGCTGAATTAGTTACAATTTACAGAGGCAAAATCACTAGCAACATACTTTATTTTTCTAGGTTTCTTTGCCCAAATGTCCATTTTTCACTGGTTCTCAGTCTTCCCATTTTGGGACTCCCTAAATTTTTGTTGTATTCATGTTTAAGTTTGATATACCTGACCTGCAGCCTAGCAGGAAGGCTTATGCCATTCTGTTATGTATCATGCAGGGGTTCAGGGTTCAAAACTGAAATGTGATGTTTAAAAATCACACAAATCCTCTGAATATAAACTTAAAAACCTCAAGCCTGGCAGGACTTAGAGAGGTATATCAAGGCAGGGGAGTTCCACGTAAACAGGGATGAAAACCTGTGTTATCTAGTTTCAAGTAACCTCTGATTTATAACAGTGAGAACACAATTTTACAATTTGTACAACCCCATTTTTAGAATACAAAAATAATCTTTATCTTTTAGATTACATTTTGGTAACACTTCAAGGACAAAGCCAGCTCCACATCATCAATCATGATCATTACGTTGCAGCTTGCAGTCAGCATGTTAGTAGCAGACATGACAGCACAGTATCTCACTAATAATGAACTACATTTCTATGAAAGTGTGGGTTGTCTTGAATAGCAACAAATACAGAAAACCATTGTTACACTATAGATTCTGAACAACCACATCCTTTACCCATTTGTGTTTTAAATTTCTTTGACACTCATTTTGCAGTCTTTAAGACCATGTACAATCTCCTGTCTGTTTTCTGTTGCACACAATCACTATCATTAATTAAACAAAAATGCTGCTCTGACTACAGACTACTTATTAAGCCAAAGAAATATATGAATGCCTGGCCATCAGAGGTCAAGTATATATATGATTAAATGCACTAAATAATCCAATATATTATACAGTAATATATCTGCTGCTGATATATTACTCTATCTGCAATTACAAATAAAGTGAGCTTAGAAATAGAGGAATGGAGCATTTTTGACTGGAGTAAACCTTTTCCAGTGTACATAAAGCACAGTTATGGCCTGCATTTCAGCTTCTGATAGATGCATTCACAATGACGGCCTATGGTCGAGGACTAAATAGTTGATAATGGAACAAGGAAATTGTATAATGCTAAATAAAGCTGACAAATATGCAAGTGAAAATTTCATAACAATGTTGGGTATCAACTTACAACCAGCAGATGGTCTAAGCTCTCACTTATTTCATTTATGAGGAAACGAGTCCAAGACACATACAGATAGAGTTAACATTTTCAGCTGGGTACAGTGACATTTGAGAGGCTGCTATAAATGAAACAAACAGCGATTTCTTATGCAGTATACCATGGAACTATCACAAACCTTTGTCTCACAAAAAAAATACACAGGCACTAATCTTAAAAGGCAATATGAAAATAACCCATATGGTCTCTCAATCTGTAATAATTTGGCAGTTTTCTATTTTTATTCTTCATCCTCAGCATGACACCATGATACACTTTGATATGCAGAGCTCAAACTGCAAGCACATATGTCAAATGTGAAAGCGTCATACTGGAAGAAAATTTACTCATGATTGATAAACTACCTTAGTAGGCTGCAAATAGTAAACGTGAGAGTCATAAATACACAGCATGTGCAAGCAGTTTTCACCCAGGCAAGTCAAGCTAGTCACAAGGTCATGCAGTCTCGTCCTGAGTGAACCCAGGTATACACTGGACATAGGTGGCATATTTCAGTTTACCATCATAATAATGTTTAATCTGGATTTATGTCATATCACTCATGGTATTTCAGACAGTTTCTATGTTCCAATCATGAAATAATACAAATTAAACACAGTACTGTTTGATTGTATTGTGGTAATGATGGTAGCCAAATAACTACTGTGTAACATACTGTTGAATGTTTTCATTGCTCACTGAAACACTTTGTCCTGTGGGCCTACAGTTTTAAAAGATTGTGTAAAGATCATGAAAACATCACTGGTTTGAGGTTTTCATCAATGTGCTTCTACAAAAATATTTTATGCCTTTCAGACAAATCCATACAATACATCTTGATCAATTTAGATGACCATTATGAATTGCACTTTTAAAATTGATAGTCCTTTCACTGTAAGCATTGACAAATTGAACAAAAAATGTCCACACACTGAAACATTTTGCACTTTTGTCTCTGGTTAGGGAGAGTTCAGATGCAACCGAGTTGGTCTGAGAACAAAAACAGGAACATTAATTTGTGTCAAAGGACATGAGGGTTATGTGGTTGGATGATCCATAAATACTCACCCTCACTCATGCATAAAAGAATTTATACATCTCACACCCACACATACCATGGGTAAATCCCAAGTCTTTTATAAGCACTGTTTTTTACCTTAGTTGTGTCTTTTCCTTGTGTCTTAGTCCCACCCACAGGTGGCTATGGCTCAAGAGGTAGAGCAGGTCATTCCATAACCATAGTGTCAGCTTCTCCAGTCCACATGTCAAAGTGTCCTTGGATAAGACGTTGAACCCCAAGTTGCTCCCGGTGATATCAGCAGTGTGTGAATGCTTGTGGTGAGTGAATGGGTGAACAGACAATGTTTAAGCACTCTGAGTTTGCTTTAGTGCTATACAACTATTAGTCAATTTACCACATAAGATGCGAGGGAAACTTAAGGAGAGAGGACTCGAGGAAACACATTAATAATGACATGAGATATCCTTTTTTCAGATCCTTTACCTAAAGCGTCCAATCATCAACTGATTTCTGATAAAGGGGTGTGCTGATTCACAAAAACTTCAGCAAAGCATGGTCTTGAGTATCCTTGGTCATGAGTCCTCCAGCAGCCTCCTCACTCCTTGGTCCTCAGTCCTCAGAATCAGTTTTAAGAGACTCAGAACATCCTCTGTGCTTGAGTAACCGGAATGACTTCCGAGTCCACTGAGGAAGTAGGAACAATCTTATAAGAGACTTGAGATGTACCCAATGATTCATAAGTGCTAGCTGCTGTGTTCCATTTTTACCTTTTAACTGTACTAGTAGAGTGCATCATCGCTCACATTCACTCTCCATCTCATCCAGAAATACACTAGAATCCATATATTAATCGCAGTCACAACTCACTCAATCACACATAGAACAAACACACCAAATCTGCTTTATGTGATCCATTTGTATTTACATCTCTTGCAGCTTCATACTGACACTTTGCCTCGGTTTTATTTCTGTCCCAGAGGAAGGGTAGAGGTGGGAGGTGTTGGGTGAATTTTGGCACTGGAAGGCAGAGTAGCAGTAGAGCAAGAGGAGGAACAGGTGGAGCAGGATGAGGAACAGGAGCAACATGTTCCCCCAGTAGTGGTTGGTGCATTGGTGCCACCTCCAAGCAGCAGAGACGCTGCCGTGGACACTGGACATGTGGGCATTTGGGAAGACAGAAGCTGTTGGCTTTGAGGTGGTGACTGGGACAGCTGGACGATGGACTGTGTCTGTGGTAGTGACTGAGACTGAATTGGAGTTTGCATCTGGGACTGCGGTATCTGCTGGTGGAGTGGGGACTGTTGA